CCTCTATCCTTCAGTTCTCTCCTCCTGGGAGTTCAGAATTCTTTCACACTAGTGCCATTGTTGCAGGAGGCATGTGTGTGTGTTGATTTCTGTCATTTGGAGTTTGGGTCTCTGAGGCTCTAGGAAGATGTGATGCAGTGCAGAATTGAGCTCTATTTCAAGCCCAAGCAGGTATCCTGTGCCTTCTCTCTGTTCTTCTGCTCTCCTGCAGAAATCTTTTGCAGCATACAACACTGCCATGGGGACCTCGGCAAACTTCCAAAGTCTAGAGCCTGTATCTCCATGGCAATGGGTAGAGGGAAGGGGGGGGACTATGGTGTGGGGTTGGTTTTTGTTGTAATTGCATTGGTAAGGTCTTCATGTCAGCTAGTACAGCCTCATTGCCTGTTGTGCGTGCATGGTAGGAGAGGAGGTGCTGAGTGAGCTTGAGGGAGGTGTCAGTTCATGTGGTTTTCTTCAGTTGGCTTTTAACCTTTTTGGGGGGGATTCTGGTTGTCCTAGACCATAAAGAACTTGCTTTATCTTTGGCATATAATTTCAGTTTTGGAGAGGTTTGAGAAGTCATGGGGATCAGAGAAAATGTCTAAAACTCAATCTTGTCAGTCAGATAACTCAGGAGTCTCACTTTGCTCTTAATTCTATTTTTTATCTTTTGTTTCATCTCTTCCAGATAGTCTTCTAATACTTGCTGACCAAGCAAATTTTTTTTCTCTGAAGCTATGCTTTAGTTGTTGTGAGAATGTTCTCTTTTTAGTTTACCTCTTGGGCTTCTTTTAGCCCACACAATTTCTTTATGTTCCACATTTTATTCTATTTACTTATATTTTTAGCATTCATTTTCAATTTGGAATTTTATATTTAAGCCAGACCATTCTAGCTCTCTTGGATAGGTTGGGTAGGCTCTTTTTGGCTCTATTCCTCAAAGATCTGGATTCCAGTGATGATCCAGATAGGGTGATGAGTATTAGGTCCAGCTCCCTGCCTCAGTTTCTGCTTGTTCTCTGTTTCCTGGTGATCAGCAGTGGGTTCATACCTGAGGCAGCCTCATTTTCTCTCTGTATGTTCCCCAATGAAGAGTTAGTTCTTATCCCTGACAGGCTCAAGTTGTATTCTGGAGATCATGTTGACTTCAGCCCTCCTGCACAGACTTCATGGCACTGGGCCCCAGATGCTGAGTCTGGCCTTTCTCTTGTGGTAGCTCCCTTCACTCACAGGAATGTGCAGGAATGGGTCCCGTTTCTCTGTGCAGTAATCTCTGGGGGCTTCTGTTCTGATATTCAGATCTCTGATTCTTAGAGATCGCAGTAGTTTGGGACACACACCCTTTCTCCCTGGTCAGACAACTAGACCTTGTCTTCAAATTCATTCACCTTTGTCACTTTTCTTGGTCACAGCTGCTCTCCTTGAATCCTCTAGCTTCCAGGTAGTTTATCTGAGGTTGTGTGGGCTTTCCTGGCACTACCTCTCTCCCTGCCTGTCAATTTCCATGTTTACCTGTATTTATGCTGGCTTTTCTGGTGAGATCCCTCTCCCACCTCCACCAGCTGTCTTTTCGTGAAGTTCCGGACTGGATTGAGGCATTTTCTTCTGATTTTTTTCTCTTTTGTCACTGCTATTTCTGTGGTCCTTTTCAGAGTTGCTGGAGATTTATGTGGGAGAGATGGCCATTTCCATGACCTTTCATATCACTATCTCAATTGCTTTTATCTCATTCTTCCGCAACTCCTATTCTTGTTGAGAGACTAAAGAAATAATTAACCCTTCATGAATCCTAAATAAACTTCTTGAGAGTGCATAACCCCCCTCCCAATTATTTTACTCTCTCTTCCATTTCACATAACTTGTGTCATTCATTCCTGCAAAGGATATCTAGTGAGTCACATGGAATTTTAATTCTTTCTCTTATCTTGATTCCTTAAATTTCCCTTAAATATCTGTCTTCAAGGTCAGTCATTTTATTCATGTGCTTTTTTTAAATCATTGTTGCCTTTTGCCTTTACTAAATTTTCTTCCAGTTTTTATTTTTGTGCTTCAAATCTATAATTTTTTTTCCTTCAGAGTCTATGAAAAAAGCACTTAACATAAATACCTCTGTTTTGAATTTGTCATGAGAATGCACACATCAAACACGTAAGCATATAAAGAACTAGATGGTGAGGGTCATAATATTCAGATTCTTGTGATGCATATAGCTGGTTACCTTGACCAAATGATGTTTATATTGCTCAAAACAGTCACACTTGCTAATAATGAGCTGTCATTTTGAAGTGTTATGTCAGCGTATTAGTATATGGACATAGATAATCGTAGCCACCTCTTATAAAAGCTAACAGCTGATTGGTCCATTTCCCCATAAATGGAGGTGACACTGAGCATAGGTTGCCACTTCTGATGCTTCAGTGAATACTGTGTCTAATTCCAAGCAAAGAGGAATCAGTAAAGCCCACATTGCTAATGACGAGAGTCAAGAAGAAACCACACTATGAGCTTCCAGTTCTTGAAGCCCAGAGAGGACTGAATCCAGTTTTACCACAGACCAGACCAAGTGGAGTCCAGTTCTCAGACACTGCTGTCTGCCTGGATCCATCTTCCAGCACCTTTTACTATCAGATATCTAATCTACCATTTTTGTTCCTGACATCCTGTGGTGGGAAGATTGTTTTGAATAGTTTGGATTTGATGTTGGGCTAGGTATTGTATATTTTAAAGAAACTAATGTGATTGTTGTCTGGTGTGGAAATAACATTTGAAGGGGCTTTTTTCTTCTTTATTAAGTAATTCAATGCTAAAATAAATTGTGTGAAATAACTTGAGTGTATATATTGATTCAAATTTTATTGATCCAATCATTGAGTGTCTTATATTTCCTTAGAAGATATGTTCTTAGTTTCGGATGCAGTTTTTTATATAATGCCTTTATTTTCTTTCCTTTAGATAATTTGTACTCAAGAAGTCAATAAAAAAACTGTAGTTAATCTCAACTGAGACAGAGATTCTATCTTTGGGAATAATTTATAAATAAATTCCATATTATTTTCTTTCCTTTTCCGCATTGAAAATTCTTATTTCTACTCTAATTTCGTATTATCTTCTTCCAGTTTTATATGTCCTTTGGATAATCTAGAGCTTGTTGCTGTTTTTTTTTTCCAAGCTACATGATCTCTGCAGAGTCCACATAATTCTTTTTTTTTGATCAGGGGGCTTTAATTTATTTTCCTTCAAATATAAAGCTTTTTCATAGTACATTGGCCTCTTTTTTCATTTTTGCTCATTTTCCCTTCTATGAATTTCTGTTGTTTTCTTTCTCTAACACATTTTAATAAAGGGTGTGTGTGCTTCTAGCATAGAAGTAGCTAGGTATCTCAATGGATAGAGTGCTGGAAGACCTGAGTTCAAATGTAGCCACAGACACTAATTAGCTGTGTGACCCTCAGCAAGTCACTCAACCTCTGTTTGCCTCAATCCCCTGGAGAAGGAAATGGCAAAACACTAGCATCTTTGCCAAGAAAACCTCATGGACAGTATTGGGCATACTTCTAGCTGTGTGTGGGTTGATTTGTAGAACTAGTTACTCACTTATGGCTCACCCTTACCCTCATGTGGGTGGTACCTTCTGTTTCCAACTTCTCCCTTCATGATTGACTTTCTAGTTAGTGCTTTCAGCACCCTTCTCCATGCCTCTCTTCCCCCTCACCCCCACAGAAGGACTTCCTTAACAGCAAAGGTATGCTGAAGCAACTGATCTCGGAAGAGTTAACTTACCACATAGCCTATAAGCTCAGTTGTTCTTCTGTCTTTCAGTCCTTATTCACTTGATTTTTTTTTTGCATTTTTATGAAGTTGTAAGTATATGAATCAATAAAATCTCCTTTTTGTCTTACTCTGAGCCCCTGTGCTGGGAATGTTCCCAACAGTTATAAATCTCTTGGACTCTCTTTCTGTGTCTACTTCTGTTTTTTCTATCTCAGTCTCTCTGTCTGTCTGTCTTCCTCTTTCTAGTCTCCTTTCCTTTGAGAAGTCCTTTCCTTTCTAGCCTGTCACTGCCCTAATTTTCTACCCTTATTTCCAGTTCCTCTCCCTTTTTTTTTCTGTGGATGGGTAGAATCAATATCTGCTGTATCTTATGGGATAGGGTGATAGGTTGAGTCCCTGCTATGAGGGGTGAGGAACCCAACACCAGAACTTGAAATATAAACTTGACAGATTGCTTAAACCTATCTCACCAAGTGTACTTTGAATAGATTGGAGGGTTGGGATGCTGAGTGGGAACTATCATGTATTTAAATTGTTTCATGAGAGTTTTACATTGTGTGGTACTTTTGTCTTGTTTTATAGATTCGGTTTTTGATATTCTGTATCTTGTACATAATTCCTTTCTTTTAAAGCTTTGGGGTCTAGAGAAGTTTGTAGAAAACAACATTTTACCAGTCATGAATCTATATGAACTCTTTTTATAAGTTACAAGCAAGTTTGCATTAATTCATTAATGATGTCCCTTGTACATGAAGCTGATAGTATTAATAGGATGGGAATTTTCCATTTTATCAGTTCTTTTCCTTTTTCAGTAGTGGTGACAGATTTTAACTTCTCCATCCATCTACTTTTCACCTGGCTTAATTATCATCGTAACCTATGACAAATTTTCAAGAAAGCTAGTTTTACTATTAGTAAGATATTCTAGGGATAACAGAGCAAGATGATTGATTCACCAAGGGACTGAATATGATATGATATGATCTTGACTTTATTAGTTGTATGATTTAACCATCTGCGCAATCTTTTGTCTTTTATGCTAATTTTTTTATTCACCCAAATTTTTCATTGTAATATTTCAAAGAGAAAGAAAGAAATCATACCTATATGGAATATTTGTTAATTCCCTTAGTAATTATGAAACATTCATTTTGGTACTGCTATGCAGCAATCACTAGAAACTACTATATAATTGTGAGTATTATATTTAATTTTTTTGTCCAGAAAATTATTACATTATCTTTTACCTTGCTTGAATATTTTTGCAGTCAAATTTCAACAAAGAGGAAAAATCTTGAATAGCTGCATTCCAATTGGAACTTTCAAAATGATACAGGCCACGTTTTAATAATGCATCTGTTCTTTCTGGGTTAAAATAAATACACTACATTGAAAAGGAAGAGGAAAGGACATAAAATACTAATTATCATGAAAATCCTTTTTTTAAAATAAAAGCTAAAATTAAAATAATTAAAATATTTATTTAAATTTAATTATTTAATTAAATTAAAATAATTCTCTTTTGCATTAAAAAAACCCTTTTTTAAACAAAAGGTATTTTAAAAATAATTCTCCCTAGAGTTATTTATTAAATTATATCTGAATAAATAAATCAGCGTTTTGGAAGTATTTAAGGTTACAGGACCTCAAACATCCTGCTCAACCTCTGATTAAGATCAAACCTGTAAAAATACCATTGTTTGGGGAAATTCTAGAAATGGAAGGGCTTTTAGATGGGAAAACTTATGTGTAATTATAATAGCTGAGCACTTCGTCTCCCATTTTGCCTATAAAATAGAAGCCATTTATTTTTAGCTTTTTCTAGTCCCAATTCTATACCACAGAAACCCTCTATCTCGTGTTTAATTCTCTCCTCCTTTGCTCCAGTCTCTGAAAAGGAGATTGTCCTTGGCCATCCTTTCTATCTATGCCCTTAATCCCAACTCATCCTATCTTCTCCAGTAGTTTGCCCCTATCTCTAAGGGCAAATTATCCCCCTTCTCTAATCATAAATGTTTCTTTATCTATTGGCTCCTTCTCTGTTGCCTAAAAACTTGCTAAGGTCTTCCCAATCCCTAAAAATCTTCACCTGGCCATTCCATCAGCCTATCATTCCATATGCCTCCTCCCTTTCACTCTACTGAAACTGCTCTCTCCAGAGTAATTGGCAGTCTCTTAATGGCTAACTCCAGTGGCCTTTTCTCAGTCATCCTTCATGATCTTTTTTCAACTCTTGATGCTGTTGACTACCCCTCCTTCTTCCCCTCCTAATTCCCCTCTTCCCTTTCTTTTTTTCCCCTCCCTCCTTCCTACTTTTCTTTCTCCCCTTCTCCCTTTTTCCTTTTCTTCCCTTCTCCTTTTTCCCCCTCCCCTATCCTAACATTTATATAGTGCTTACTATGTTGCAGGAACTAGAACTATGCTATATACAACAGCCCTGGGAGGTAGGTGCTAAGGTAGCTGCCAAGATATATCTGTCTACACCTCAATTTCCTTTGCTGGATCATCATCCATGTTCTATCTCTTAAGTGTGGGTGTACTACACTTCTCCTCTCTTCCTTCACCATAACCTGTCTCTCACTTGGAATCGTATGTTCAATGTTCACCTCTGTGTACATATAATGGGCAGGCCTGACTTGGACAAATTCTCTGTTAGTTTAGTTTTAACAGTTGAAAGACACAAGACACTCACACTAGAAACAGTTAACAGAAAGAGGTTTACTTAGCCATTGCATAGAAAGAATACTAAACAACATTTAGCTCAGGTAAACTCTCATTCTACCCTACCCCTCGAGAAGCATCTGATTCAGCCCAGCAGAGGTCAGCCAAGAAACTCAGATGAGAAAGATTCACCAAGTTTGAATGGCACTGGGTTCAGGTGAGTGGGCCTTTGTACTCCCTTAGGCAACCAGAAAGATATATAAATATGGCTAGAGGTTGCCAGGAAACTGTCAATCAAAGTTCAGCTTGATCCTTCATGACCCCTCAATCAAATCAAGCAACTGCACAGGTTTCAGCGCCTTACAGGAAAAACAAAAAGCAAAAATCTAGCCTAACTCATATGGGGGGAGCAGGACGGGGGAAAGAAGTATTGAAAATATGGAAATTAGATTGACATTTGATCATTGTCAACTTTGGAAAGAGCAGTTTCAGGTGAATGAAGAGGTTAGAAGCCAGATTGCAAAGAGAGTGGGAGAAAAAGAATCAGGGACCTAGATTGGAGATAGTTTTCTCAACAAGTTGAGCACAAGGGGAGAAAAGATACAGCTCTTGACACTGAAATCTCTCACTTATCTTGTGGGAGATGATTGGATTAAGTGAGGTATTTCTTTTTAATGGGGGAGGCATGGGCAGGTTTGTAGGGAAGGAGATGGGAGACAGAGAGAGAAAGAGAGAGAGAGAGAGAGAGTTGAGGATGACTGAGATTCTAAACCTGGGAGACTGAAAGGATGGTGGTGCCTTCAACAGAAATGGAAAAATTTGAGGGAGAGGTGGGTTTAGAGAGAAAGATAATGACATATCAGTCACCTACCACTATGCTCTCAACTAGATGGTGCAATGGATAGAGCTAGGCCTGGAGTCAAGGAGACCTGAGTTTAGTAGATTTGGCCTTAGACATTTACTTACTAGCTACGTTACCCTAGGCAAATAACTTTCAGTTACTCATCTGTAAAATGAACTAGAGAAGGAAATGGCAAACCTCTCCAGTATCTTTGCCAAGAAAACCTCAGGGGCAGGTAGGTGGTGCAGTGGATTAAGCACCGGCCCTGAAGTCAGGAGGACCTGAGTTCAAATCCGGCCTCAGACCAAACACTTGACATGTACTAGCTGCGTGACCTTGGGCAAGTCACTTAACCCTGATAGCCTCAAAAAAAAAAAAATAAACAAACCCTCAAATGAGGTCACAAAGAGTTGGACATGACTGAAATGACCGAACAACAAGAAAGAATAATGGGCTCAAGTCTAAAGTAGCTGGTACTATTCCAGAGCATACTCTTCACCTTCCCTCAATGCCCTCTTCTCCCATCATGCACAGTCTGTATAAACTAGTTTTGTATACCACTTGCAAGAGTTATTCAGATGGCATAGGTCCAATAGGAACGAAGGTTGTTTATCTAGCAGCCACAGGCATATTTTCCTTCTGGGGGATTCCAAAGTCTTAGAGGAATATCATAAGATGAAAAATCTGTATCAATGGATCTCTGTGCTGGTCAAGAGAGACTCGTGAGTTGCTTATCTAGCAGCTCAGGGATCATTTTCCTTCTAAGAGGAAGCCAAAGCATGGAATGGCATTGATTCCAAAGAACTGTAGGATTCTGTGGAGAAGTGGACCAACAGGAGAGTGGGAAGGGGATTTATGGGCATTAAGTCTTTCATATATTTAAATTTACTTTATACAAATTTAGTTTTGTAAATTTTACAAATACATTTTAAATTTTACAAATTTTAAAATTTACAAATACATTTAAAATTTTAATTTTGGCAAAACAAGGCACCCTGTCATTATGCATTTTGTGTAGGACAGTTTCTAGAGATACTTTCAGACTGGTGGATCAGAAGAGGGGGTCCTTTTGCTCTGACACCTCAGTTACTTGGTCTTTCTCCATAGAATTTTTTCTTGTGGGGTCATATCAAAACTGTCATGTATGCATCAAAGAGTCGTTCTTTGGATAATCTTGAGACTAGTATTACAATTGCAATTCTTTAGCTCCCTGAGCAGCAACTGATGAAAGTTTTTACAAAGTTAGATAACTGACTAGAGTGACACATAACATGAAGTGGGGGTTATGTTGACATTTAGTTAAATCATATAAATATTTTTAAATTTTAAACAATTAACTTTTCAAATGTTTTTGGAAATTTGTAGCATTTATACTACTGAAATCATTAAAGTTTAAAACTGCACTAAAACTTTAAAGCTAAAATGTGATTTCCTAAAGAAAAAGGGTATGAAGAGTTGAAGTCATCTTGTTACTTACGGGTATGTTAAAGAGGGAGACACAGAATAAGGCAAAATAACCCAAATCAGTGTTCTAGCATGATTACTTCAATATGCCTAATTCTGTATTTAAGACAATGGCTGACAATGATAAATTAAAGAACTTCATTCCAATGAATCATTCTTTCTATCCTACAATCCTAATAATCTGACTTCCTTAAGCAAATGGCATGGTAACCCACAAACTTTGTGCTCCCCACAGGTTCCACTCAGCCCCCAGTACTTGCTTATAGCAAAATAGGTCCTGCTGATTTGGATGTATCAGGAGCAAATTATGATTGATTTCTGTATGTATTTAGGAAAGATTTTAAATGCTAGCAAAAATAAATTTAAAAAGAAATTAAGCTGTAGAAATATTTAACATATGGATTGATGCTGATGCCCTTACTGTGTCCGCATGTCACTAACAATAAGGAAAGTAAAATGAGGGAAGAGTGGGGATTTCACAACACAGAAGGGTTGACAATTGGAGCTATCTGCAGCATTTTATCGGCCTCTCCTCCTGGATACCCTCTTCTTATACAACTTGTGTGACATTGTTCCCTTTTGGTTTTCCTCGTACTCTTTAATCAGACTGCTTTTTCTTAGTCTCCTCTGCTAGATTATCATACATATCCCATCACATAACTGTGTGGGTATACCTCAGTACTGTCCTAGGCTCTCTCTTATCTCTCTAATAGTCCTTCACTTGCTGCCCTCATTAGATTCCAAGCATTTAATTATCATTTCTATGCAAATAACCCCCAAATCTCAATCTCAAACTTTCTCTCTCTCCGTTTCTCCCTCCATCTACCTATCTGTCTATGGATCTATCTACATCCCTACCCTCTTTCCCAAACATCAGTCATCCACCTCTCTCTAATGGATATTTCAAATTAGATGTCATATAGATCTCAAAATCAACATGTCCAAAACTGAACTCACTTTCTTTCCTCACAAATTCATCTCACTTCTGACATCCCCTAGTTCTCTCAAGGGCAGCATCATTCTTTCAGTCATCCAGGCTTGCAATCAGCATTATATACCCAACTCCTCATTCCCCTTCATCCCAATCTGTTGCCAAATCTTATATATTTTATATCTACAATATCTTTTGCATCTTTATCTTTCTCACACAGTCACTACCAGAGCTCATCTGCATCACCTCTTACCTGAACAAGGCTCCTAATTATTCTTCCTATCTTAAGCAACCCCCTGTTCCAATCTATCTTCCATAATGCTGGTAAGTAATTTTCCTAAAGTTCAGGTCTGAAAAAATCTGTCCTCTTTTTAGTAAATCCCTCTTGCCTTTAGGATCAAACATAAACTCCTCTGTTTGGCTTTTAAAGTGCTTCAAAATTTGGCACAAATCTGCCTTTCCCACCTTATTATATATTATTCCCCAT